GTACATAAATATGCTTTTAAAGTGCCTGTGACATCAGTTTTTTGTAATAAACATGAATGCATTTTTGGAAAGCAAACATTAAAAAAAATATTTCAAAACAAATTTCACGCCACTGAGATGAACAGTTGTTGAGATATTTGCGTGTGAAGAAACAGGAAGTGATGTCAAAGGGGAATGTCTGCATGTAAACAGAACGCTGTTACAACAGCTAACACAGACTGGAGGAAAATCTGATGTTTAGATTATGTTGAGTTTCTATCGAGAGATGAAGGGTTAAAGCTTAAGTAATGTTTTAATAAACAGTTTACAGTATTTTATTAAAGACTTACCCTTTGTCACTTCCTATTTTACTATGGCTGAGCCAAATCCAAAATAAAACAGGCCAGTTATGAGACAAAATGTGTATTATGCTAATTTTCTTAAGAACAAATGTTTTCTATGAGTTTTTGTATTTGAAGTATGGGCATGTCACAGGAACTTTAATGATCCATAAAAAATCTTAGTGACTCACATTCCTGTTCCACTGAGATCACAAAACTTGGTCAAGTTTTTGGCACTTTCCCTTTAAATAAATAGATAAGAAAAGAGGTTAATTGTCAGAAATGTGGCTGCTGATCACCAGCCCGCAGCTGATCCCGTGTTCACTGACAGACATGAGRGGATCTGTTACCGTTGTTTCCGGCGCCACGTGTGAAAGGCGCAGCAGTGGCTGGGGTACGTCAGCTCGGCCTCCAGCAGCTCGGCGAGGCTTTCTAACGGAGGGAGGCTTTTCAGAGAGAACGCAGAGCTGGCTTTCAGAGACCGCACCTGGTTCAGCCCTTTAGGTGGGAGGGAAATCAGCGTTGTGGAAGACACGTCCCTGAATGGCACAAAACACAGAACATAAAGATATTGTACTGCCTTAAACCAGCTGATAAGTCTTTTTTTTAATAGATGAGAAGGAAATGCATGAAAGGAATCTGAAAAGATTTTCTGTGGAGGATCAGTTTTAGATAGCGACATCATGCCAGGAAAAGTAACTGCTCAAAAAATACATTTTTATTTAAAGCAAAGCAACGTTAAACCACTTTATTTTAATACTTCACTCATCAAAGGTAGAAAAGCCTGAGCCGGACCCCACACATGCAAAGCGTGGAGCATTTCAAACATTCACAAGCAAGATAAGAGCAAACCTCACATCAGAGACCTTGTGATCGGTGTGTGCAGCAGACTTTGTTTTCTTGTTAATCAGCATTTAGCAGCCTTTTTTTTTTATTTTTGGGTGGTTGTTTACACAGACAGGCTGTCACCAAAATAAAAAAAAACATAATATACTTTATTCTTGACCCAGTTCTGATGTAATTACCTTTTAATGAGGTTAGTTGAACTTAATAAATTGGTCACAGTGTTGGAAAAATACTTTTTTTTAAATGCTACTGTATTTTAGAGCACATGCAGGCAAAAATTTACAAAATTCTTCTAAGAAATTAAAATTACCACTGAATTTTTATTAACTGAAGATTACAATAGATAGGCGTTATTCAACTGGTGGCCCATGGGCCACATCCGGCCTGCGCATGATTTCCAACTGGCCTGCAATTTTTTGAAAATTTATTTTCCTTTTATTTTACTTAATATAAAATAGATTTCAGTTCATTTGTAAATTTAAGATGTATGTTTGAATGCATAAACAAATTTAAAAGGTAAAACGTTGTCATGCTGCAGTGTTTCACCTACCATTAGGCAACGGGGTGGGACTGGGGGATGTCCAGTCCCTGAGCTGTTTGAGTAGTGATTTACTGGACTAGCCCTGCTATAATTAATTCCAAAAAGTAAATAATAAATGAAACACTAAGTGCAATATCTTGAGCTATTCTATTTTATAACAAACTGAAATTGAAACAAATGAATTAGCTGAACGTTTTAGCATTCCTTTTTAGTCCTTAAAGGTTTTTATTTTTTACTTTGTGGTCCTGCTAGTTTAAAACATTGTTTAAAAAAATCAGATTAAGCTCCTTGCTGAGCTCTGCAGCATGTTGTTTTAACACACATCAGTGTAAATGAGCTTATTGGGCTTCATAACAAACATTTAGAARGCGGTAGTTTTTCTGCTGTCGTGGGAACTGCTTTCATAAATAAAAACAGTTTATTGGGTCTTTATCTCCTCAGATATTGAGAGAGCCTGATTATAGTGATTGCTCTTGCAGCCAACAACAAAACATCTGCCGCGCTTTGCTCATGGCGAGAGTTCAAGTCAGCAGAAGCGTTTCAAATAGTGGCAGATGTGAGCGCAGCTGTTAAGCCTGACCAAATTTCTGAAAGAGAGAGAGAAAAAACCTCCTTTCTGCGCAGGCTTTCCTCTCTGCACCAAAACTTCTAGCACACAGAGGAAGCTGGAGCTAATTTTATTGGAGAAAATAAAAATATTTAGCGACTTACAGATGATTCGGACCTGTGGCTCCTTCAAAAGCGTCTTGATGGATGTGACTGAGATACCTGTTGTCTCGCAGAATTCTGAAAAACAAACAAAACAAACGCAGGAACAAAAAAGTTACGTTTAACCTCGAGCTCAAACTGTAGTTTTCTGCTTAGCACACAGTTTGAAAGGAAACTGGAGATGACACAGTAATGGCTGGCGCTGCCCCCGAGGATTATTCATCTACTTTTTGTTCTCTGAAGTTGACACTGAGGAGGATAAGCATTATTTTTAGACTGCAGGGTGTCTGTACACATCTCATCCTCAACATTCAGCATTATGGGGCAAGGCAGGAAAACAACGGGGCATCCAATCTTTTGTTTAGTCTTACATAAGGGCTGTTTACTGGTACATTCAGTTTCCATGATTAGAACGAGAAAGGCCAGGTCTTCCCTGCGAGGACACTGCATCGCTCATATACAGTACATAATCCCAGGTAAACGTCTCAACAATCGGCTTACAGCGTGTTCAGCTTGGTCCCGTTGAATGCATGAGACTTGATTTCCTTGAAGCCGCTCCGAACCAGGTTCCTGTCGAGGACACGGTGGTTAGAAAGTCTAGTTTGCCGTTGAAAACATCTATTGCCAAGGTTAACATTTAGAGAAATGCTGAGAATTGAAGCCGAAACATGAGTGGTTAAAGCTAAATCAAGCAGGACCCAAGCCAAAAGAAGCAAAGCATCAGCCAAACTTAAATAGAAAAAACTGAAAGCTAAAAGAGTGAATCTTTAGATAAAATAAAAGGGTAAATAAAGTTGGTTATTTTGAAGAGTATTAGTTGCAGGGCTGTTCAACTAGCATGCTTAGTGGGCCACAATTCCTTTATAGCTAACAGATCAGTGGCCGAACGAGTATTTTTATCTTTTATCTTGTAAATTGATACAATTTGTTGCATTTAATCATAAAATAAAAATGTAATATTGATTTAAAATCTATTTTTATCTTCATTTAAGTAAAAAAAAAATTCCAGGCCGGACAGAAGTCATCCACTGCCCCAATGTGGCCTGCGGGCCACCAGTTGAGTAGCCCCGATGTACTATATGAATGGCTAAAACACAAAATTTGCAGAACTAAAAGTTACAAAATCACAAAACTGTAGTGGAAATACTAAATCAGCATTTACACAGTTACATAAAAGCCATCAATAAGCATCTGGAACAAATGAGGACAAACTGTTGCTCTTGGCTCCGATCATTCGTTAACAAAAAAAAAGACTTTCCGTCTTCACTCACATGTAGACGTACTCCTTAGTGATTCCCCGGAAGGAATTGGCAGGAATAACGTCGATCATCATGTTGTCTGCCATTTCTCTGCAGGCCGAGGAGATAACATTGATTCGGGCTGCTCAGCTTCATTCTCAGTCAGACAAAAATGATGTTTATTCACACGAATGAGAGCAGCACGGTCGCACAGAGCAGCAGTCATGAGGGCTGATGGCGACGTGACACAGATGGAATAAAACTCTGAGTAAATGGCCCCGGTGAGGGCGGAGGCTTGAACATCCCTGCAGCTTTGGGACATTCAAGAGGACAATAAAGCAGCTTAGAGATGGTGTTGCCTATAAATGGAATAACTCACAGAATAATGTTTGGTGCCAAGCTGCAGATGCTGCTGAAATCTGGGAAGTGAACGATGCCTGTGTTTGAGATGCTCCTGTAAAGGCGGGTCACAGAGATGAGATGTGGTATTACAGAAATCAGTCAAAAACTAAAGCACATGTAAATAAACTAAGAATTATATTCAATCGGACATTTATGACTATATTCTGAGTAGGCTCATATTAATCTGTTCAAAACTAAAGCTTGGGAGGATTTTGTACTGATGAAGAAAAWTTTAATTAAAATTCTTGCAAAGTGGGTGTAAAATCTGACTACCTGTAAAGATAAAAAGCTTAATAGGCATTTGTGTTATTCACAAGACATAACTGTAGATGGAAACTCCAGAAAAAGAGATAAAATATGATAAAACAGCACGAACACATGGTTTCAAAAATTATTCAAAAAGGTCTAAATATCTGTCCTGACAAAATGAACAATTTTAACACAATAGTTTCATTTCTAATGCTTGAAGTGTTAAAAATGCAATGAAACATTTAAAATACTTTTTTAAAAATAGCTAAAAGCAGCAGAACATGTTAAGAAATAAAATCAGCAAATTAGTAGCTAAAACACTGTTGGTGCAAAAAACTAAAACATGTGCTGCGATAAGCAAATCAACACCCGAAAGAAGCAAGACAAATACTAATATWTGTAACACTGTAGATGAAAGTAAAACAGAGGCTACAGCCAAAATCATCCAAACTGTAGCTTAGTGCTATGAAACGCAGGATAATCGCTAAAAGCAGCAGAGTAGTGGTTAAATTCTAAAAGTAGCAGAACAGTAGCTAAAATGAGTAAAAAGTGGCAAAATAATAGCTAAAAACGTGTAGCAGCACATGCAAGTAAAAGKTGAATAAATGTGCTGTAGTGGATTTCAAAGTGTAAAATGTTTTAAAAGGCGCTAATTTTTTTTTTAGCTAAATCTTGCTTTTTATCACCTGCCTTTTACAGTTTGCAAAGAATCAAATCGACTTCTATTTTCATTGAAACAAGTGAAACAAAACAAAGTTGCTTACATGTATTCAAGCCTGGGCAGGTCGGTGAAGGCACCCTTCTCAATAACTCTCAAACTGTTGATATTCTGCACAAAACTACAGGAAGAGAAAATGAGGCAACAAATCAGTAARTGCAACATTAACAAACACAAAACGTTCGTACAGCATCCCTCAGTGTCGAAAGATTAAACACGTTGCTTCATAATTGACAGAACAATCCTGGGAAATGTAGATGAATTCAAAAACCATCCCATAGTATATCTTTTTTTGTGACTCGAGAATGAAGAAAAAAAAGCCACTTAGCCTACATCTGTGCCAGACTGTGGAGGGAGAGGAAGGCGTGTCTCTGGATGTGTGTGATGCAATCACTCTGGGAGATCTCTCTGTGGGGGGAATAAAAACCAGTCAACACTTAAAAATATGCTAAACTTAATAAGTTAAAAAAATATTGAGCTGAAAGTTTATCATGGCTAAGAATGATCAAAAACATGCTGAATGTTAGTATTATTCAGCCATTTTTAGACATAAAAAGCTGAAGAAGTAGCTGAAAACAATATTTATTGAATTTTAAATGTTAATGAAAAATTCAAGATGGCCGTCACATCTAACTTAAGTTATAATTCAGCCATTTTAAGACTTATTGAAGTGAATTTTTAAT